ATATATCGATCGAAATGCACTTTCATAGCAAAACCATATAAGTTTCAAATTCAATTTTCTGCACTGTTTGGGATTAATTAACATTCTCTCGACCAAACAATACTTTTTCACAAATCGAGAAATCTTCATTAATGTTATTCAGCACTGTACTATCAACAATCAATTATTAATTCATATTTCCAAAAGTTTTTCAGACGTAAATCGACCAATGAAAGAGATGTATATGGTCGTGACGTGTTTAAACTCGTGGCTAAAGACTACACCGAACCCAATAAACCAACGCATGTTATATTGAAGGTCTTGGCGATGGGAACTCAAAACGCTCCTCCGAGTGTCGTTTTTCGAGGACTGTTGCTCTGTGCAGTTTTTATCACCGCAATAGAGTCATCCACTGTTTGTCGATCAGCATACTTCTCAACGTTGGCAGATAAGCAGCTTAAAGGCTTCGTTGTAAAACGATTTAAGTCTCCCGGCCAAATTTGGTGTAGTCAATCTTGTTTGAAAAACGCCTGGTGTACTTCAACAAACTTCAAACTTGCTCCTCAAACTTCTGACGGCAAAGGAATTTGTGAACTAAACAAACACGATAGCTCTGCTATCAAAGAAAACACGCATTTGCAGTTTGAGGAAGGTAACACTTTCTCAATGCTTCTGAAGGTAATTAATAGCATAAAATTTTTTGTAGAAGGCTCCACGAGACCTAGTTGATGCGGCTCGTAGCTTAATTAAAAGATAAATTGTTAGTTTTCATTTTGAAATAAACCAGTTTTGTGTTTTCATGTCACTTAATATATTTCATTTGTTAAAAGAATCCACTCGTTTGGGTTGAAGTCTTTGGTGCCACATTGGTTTCTTTAGCAATTTTCAGATTTACACTAAGATGAGCGAAAACCTATTTCGATGAGGATAATTGTTGTCATGGAATAAGTGAGTTAATAGACGTGGTATGATTGACAAAAGACCTANCTTTGTCACAAGTAACGCTCTGGACACACTGCTGCCAGTTTTCTCCAAGATTATGAATACGTCACTGCAATCTGGCCAAATGCCCTCTAATTTAAAAGTTGCCAAGTTACGCCCTCTTCTTAAGAAGCCTTCTCTGGATCATACGCAGTTTTCAAACTATCGCCCCGTTTCAAATCTTACCTTTATCAGCAAAGCAATTGAAAAGTCTGTTGCTAACCAACTGATTACCTATATTAACAATTTGGACGAGACATTTCAGTCAGCCTATAAACAGTATCATAGCACAGAAGCAACTCTCATTCGCGTCCATAGGGACATCCTCATAGCCACTGATAACCGTAGAACAGTAATTATATTACTTTTAGATCTCTCTGCTGCCTTCGATACAGTTGATCACGATATTCTCCTTTCTCGTCTACTTGAACGCTTTGGAGTTACTAGCAAGCCATTTTTGTCGTTTCAATCTTATTTGACCGATCGCATGCAGTATGTGTCTGTAGATGGCGGAACTTCCTTGAAACATGATCTTCAATGGGGTGTTCCACAGGGTTCTGTTTTGAGACCCATTTTGGACCTTCTCTACACTTCACCGCTCTCTGACATTGTTAAGAGATTTAACTTGGGTTACCATTTTTATGCTGATGATTCGCAACTTTATTTGTCCTTTCAGCCAACTATACCTGGTGATAGGGATTTAGCTGTGTCTAACATCGAGCGTTGTGTACATGAGATTGATCACTGGATGTTGGTTAACCGTCTTAATTAAACTAAACAAGGATAAGACTGCATTACTAGTGATCTCTGCTAAACATCTACCTATGCCAACTGTTCAAGAAATCTCTGTCGTCAGTGAGACCATCTGCTCCTCACAGAAAGCTAGAAATATTGGTGTTACTTTTGACAATCATCTTCTTTTCAACGATCATGTTGCAAGAATCAGCAAATCATCTTTTTACCAT